AAATTTTTTTTATATGATGAAATAATATGTGAATTTCTTATTAAGCATACATTTGGCACTCCAATTTTGTAGATATTGATCTTTAAATAGTCTATTGACATTACATATTCAAAAAATCATCATTAATAGTTTCATTTTGGTTTTTCCAAATATAGCCAAAACCATTACTAAATAAATTTTTCTCTGATATCTGAAACCCAATTGTTCCTACCTATTGTATCATAATATAATAGCATTATTATAAACATAATTTAGGATATCTATCGCTTGGCATTTTTAACAGTCTTAGCCAATATTTAATACAATTTTTTTGATAGTAGATATACATGGTATTCGTCCCAAGTCACCCATAACTGCATCATTGCAACATTTAGAGTTTACTTGTAAAAATCTTTTACAACAAATATATATGGAGTGATTCAATACAGGAAATATTTACTAAGACCCCACAATTCTGACCCATACAGCATAGTGGGTTTTTATCTTAACATCAATATTTTAAAGAAAGTATTATAAGGTATGCAACCGTATTCCTGAACAGAACTTAGAATATACAGAAACACTCTTTTTTGCCTTAATAGACATATGCTCTGCCATTTTGTACATAGATAATTTGCTGGTAAAATGAACACCTACATAATCAAATCCTTTAACAACTTCAATATTTTTACCAGAATAGTGCCAATGTTCATGTTTTGACAATTGTCCCCCATTTTTAAAAACCATAATTTTTGTTTTGTCTATATTAACAAGTTTATATTGATTACAAAAATCTTGGAGACAATTGAGCTGTCGTTGAAGACCAACGATAGTATCAGATACAGATGCTATATCAGCTGCAAACATAATCAAGAGTATCAGGATACAATTGAATACCCTTTATATTATTACTTAAAAACAAATCATGTAATTCATTAATATATAATGCAAATAATATCGGACTTAGACTACAGCCTTGATGTAATCCTGTGGGGCAATCAAAAATATCAGAAACTTCAGATTTAGATTTAACAAAGCTTTTAACCGATACATAAATAGATTTAATTGTGTTATACAAACAACCAGTTAATTTGTTTACGTAATATATCATACAAAATCGTCCGATCTATAGAATCAAAAGCTTTCTGAAAATCGATGAAAGCTACATAAACTGGCTTTCGTTTCTGTTGGAGATATTTAGATACAATAGAGTATAGTATAAAAGCATTGTCAGTAGTACAATAGTTTTTCCTAAAACCTGCCTGACATTCTGAAAGCTTTCCATATGCCTCAATGTAAAAAGTAATTCTGTTGGTAATAATATTAATATATACTTTGCTTATGACATCAATTAAGAATATTCCTCGATAATTATTAGGGTTTCGCAAATTACCTTTTTTATGAACAGGTATAATTTGAACCCTGCCAGTGATTTTCTAAAAAGAAATGGCAATTCCATAGATAAATATTGTTCAACGTTCTATGTGGTCAGACCAATTTTGTACCAAACAGTCGGCAATACGTTGTTTAAAAGCAAATATAAACATATTTAAGTCTCCCTTATTTTGACTTATCTAAACATAAACATACACGTATTTGTATAAAAGTTTGTGTACATGTGTAACCAAGTTTTGTATCCCAATATTATCTTGCAACTTTAAAATATTGTAATAGCTTCTTGAAAACCACGCTACTGGCATAATCTTTAATTGGCTCACAGAGGTACATAAAAAAGTCAGTAAATAACTGACTACTTCTATGTAGGGAAATCCCATTAGTCAATTTCCTCAATGTGCCAAAGTGAAATGAAAGTTCTGGCTTCCCCCATATATATATATACTTGATTATAATCTATAAACATGTATAAGCCAAATTTTTATGAGCCAATTTTCTTAATGTGTCGAAGTTTTAATGTTGTCCGTAAAGATTAATTTGAAAACATTTTACCAAGTCGAAAACCATTGATTTTTTGACACCTCCAATCTTGAAATATTTTCACACCTTTTCATGCATTAACATATGTTAATTATGTACTTTGTATGCATTCATATTTGTGAGAATATGCTATAATTGTTATAATTCTAATTGCCATAGTTGTATTTGAAAATACATAATATAAGTCAGAACTTCCGAGACAGGTTGGGTGTGTTAATGGCACAGAATATATTTCCTTTAAGCTTGTTTAGTTATTGCCATTTTCTTTGGTTACGCCTTTTGTAATTTATTTATAAACATCATAAATTGAGACCTTTCATGAGTCAAATTTTTTACACATGTCCCTTCAACTTAGACTTTATTCTACTGTATGTCATATTAAATTTTGATTTTGTTCCAATACTTTGTATCTCAACTTGCTGCAGCAATTACAGCAAAGCACAATTCTTATTGGCACACATATTATTATCTATGAACTTATTTTGTAAGATACTGTTGACTGTCATGGAACAGGCTACTGCATAATGATTATACTGAATCACACACTTAAGCTCCCTGTAATTCAGTATAAGCGACTTGACACTCACTTTACTTGGGCCCTACCCCCATATTTCAAAGGTGTTGTATGGTTTACTACTCATGTTATTATTAACAAGTGATTTTTGCTTGATATACCTATAGGTTGAAAAAAACATGATTATGTCAATGTTTTGCACTTAAGTATCTATAAATAAAACATAAAATGCAATAATCACAACAAAGCTTAACAGGTATTTAATGTTTTTTAATAAAAAAAATCAGCAAAGAACATATTTGTACCAAATACAACAAGTACCATGCCATGCCTGAGGAATGCAAGGGCATAGCCTATTAAAGCATGTGCCGTTCTGCATGGATCATTTTGAATGCAAATACATATTTTCTTTTATTTAATGAATAGGTTTGTGTGTACAATAAATAAATTAATAACTATACTATAGGTTTATTGATTAAGTAGCTCTCAAAATACCATATATTGTATAGTTTCCGTTTTGTACAATCACTGTATCTGTGAATTTGTTGTTTGACAGAGATTTCTCCATATTATGTTTTTGTCTAAATGGCAATGTCTCAACTTTCTAATTATTTACAATGTTTTTGCATCTTTTCAGTGTCTCTTTTTGTTTATTCTTTGAAAAGATACAGTATCTTTGAGTCCATTTTGTATTCTTTGATTTGACTTGACTCTCCTACTACAATTAGTGTAGATTTCTGCTTGTTGAAAAGTACAGCTTGCACAGGTAGAGGATCTTCTATTCTTAGTCTTTGATCTTGTCTCCCATGTACTATTTTTAGAAACATTTCTCCATTCTTGTTTACAAACATAATCTTCTCTGCAGACAGCATACATAGATACTTATACATTGCTCTATTATAGACATAGTATTTATAAGATGGTTTTCCTTTCATATCTGTCTTACTAAATTCATAAATGCTAGCATCTGCATCAATTAAATCAAAAGTATCTACACTGATAAGTATCTTCAATGGCTCAAAAATGTTTTGACTCGTATCTTCCTCATTGTTAAATATTGATAAACATTCCCCTTTTTTATTGTAAACAATAACATGATATTTGTGTGAATAGTAACCATAGGTTGTATTATATATAGGCCTTTTACATTCAACCATACAACAAACATACAGTTTATTATCTGTTGGGTCAGAATCAATACTTGTGCATTTTCCTTCTGTTATAGGAAATGATGTCTCTAAAGTCATGTTTTCATCAATGGTTACAAACTGAACCAGGTTTCTTTCCCTTAGTACAATGGCAACCTCACATGACTGTGTCACACACATACATTCTGGAGTATCATTTAAATCAATATAATCTTTCACCTCCAAATTATCTCCCAGTCGTTTAAGCTTGCCATTATAGGCATCTGTGATTAACACAGTATTGTCAGGCAGTTGACATATTCCATTTATACTGCACTTGTTACTGTCAGTTTGGCATGTAATATCAACAGATTGTTTGACTTGTAAATGAAAAACAGGACAGGCCTTTGTTTCCACAGCAACTTCCAAAAATGCTGTGATTTCTTTAGGTAAGACATCATCATCAATGAACGTGTATAAAAGGGATGTCTGCAGCCATTTGTTAGAAAGATCTGTCTTAACTTTCTGCGCCTCTTTTGAAAATATCTGGCAATTCTTTATTGTTATGAAGGCCTCAACTCCATTAAAGCCGGCTCTGTTAAAGTGATTTAATCTTTTTGTCACTTCTGACATAACTGAGTCAAGTTCTTTGATATCAGCCTTGACTGCATCTTGATGATTTGCATTAGCTTCTTGGATATTTTCTCTAGATGTGTTTGCTAAAACTTTTATCCTTTGTATTAGCCTCTCTTCATATTTATCAATATCAGTCAATTTTTTTTCTTTTTCCTCTGTCATATCTTTTAAGTAGTAATTTCGATATGCTTTTTCCTGATTTGCAGACATAATGAACTTTTCCAAGGAAGATTTTAATTCGCAAAATTCTTGACTTTCTTTTATTCCCTCTGCAACTGTTTCTATCTTGTTTATGTCCTTACATGACCTATATAATGTAATACAGTAACATAATGTAGTCTAAAAAGATAAAGTTAGAATGTGACACTTTGCGAATTTTCGAGTTACTTCTTGAAAATTGGCATGTAAAAAGTTGACAATATTTCAGATTAGATTCCGTTGATTTAATTCCAAATGTTTCAGCCATTTTTGTGTCGCCTCTACGGAGTAGTGGCAACATATAGGGACCACTTCTCCGTCGTCTGTCTGTCCGTCCGAGCAAACATTTTGGGTTTAAGGGCTATATAACAGTAAAGAGAACAAAAGAGAACAATAGGTTCATTCCGTGATCAAAGGGTTTAGGGGCTAGTAGCCCTTAAGAAAACAAAGAAAATAACAAAGAAAATAGCCCCTAAAGCCAAAATGTTGGAACGTCCGTCTGTCCGTCCATCACAAAACTTGTCCGGACTACTCATAAACTACTGGTGCAATTTCATCCAAACTTTACAGGAATAATCAGTATCAAGTCTAGTTTTGCATATTGTCAGCATTTTCCGGTTCAATGATTTTTGTCAGAGCTATTGCCCTTTAATAATTTTTATTTTTAAAGTTTGTCCGGACTACTTCTCTTATACCACTAATGCAATTTCAATGAAACTTTACAGGATTGATCTGTAGCTCAAGTCCTTGCGCATATTGCACGGGTTTTCCGGTTGAATGATTTTTGGCCGAGTAATGGCCCTTTGATAAAAAGGTGTTTTTTTCTGTGTGTTGCCAGATACGCAAAAGCTTGTCCGGACTACTCCTCATAAACTACTGGTGCAATTTTATCCAAACTTTACAGGAATGATCAGTACCAAGTCTAGTTGTGCACTGTCTGTGTGTCTGTCCGTCTGTTACAAAACTTGTCCCAACATGAAATTGGCCATCATGAGGCGACACATGTGATCACTGATCGCTCTTGTATGTAAACATGACATCAAGGTGATCACCAAAGTTGTTTAGGAACATGACATTGTTGCGTATCTTTGGCAATTGTTATGGGTCTCACAACACCATAGACAGACAAAATATATAAAATTCTACAGTATGCGACGGAAATTATTTTTCTAGCCCGTTTGAAAAATGGGTCGTATTATAGATTCTGGCAGGCGGCTGGGCGGGCGTCATCCAAATTTTGTCCGGAGCATATCTCCTTCACCCATGGAGGAATTTTTATGAAACTTCATAGAAATGTTCACAACTATCAGAAACTGTGTCACATATGAACCAGGTCTTTAGGTCAAAGGTCAAGGTCACACTTAGAGGTCATTAAAAAAAACCTTGTCCGGTGCAAAACTTTTACATGCATAAAGGGATTTCAGTACAACTTGGCACAAATGTTTTAATGTTCATTATTGTAAGGCAGAGTGTTGCATGCAAAATTTAGGTCCCTGTGGTCATGGTCACACATAGGGGTCAAAGTTCAGATAAAAATATGAAAATGTGTATTCCGACCATTTAGTAATCATTTATTGAGGATCATTGAAAAAAAGGTCATTATCACATCTACTGGTGTGAAACATGTATTTTATTTAGTTTAATATATGCAATGTCAAGGTCACCAAAGATGATAAAATATAGAAATTTTGCTCAGAGCATATCTCCTCCAAGCATGGTGGGATTCTAATGACACTTCATAGAAATGTTCACCACTATGAGAAGCAGTGTCACATGCATGAACCAGGTAGCTGAACTTCTACATTCATCGGGGGATTTTAATGTAACTTGGAACAAATGTTCACCATTGTGAGGCTTATTGCGCACATAATCCAGGTCCCTGCTACCAAAGTTAAGGTCACAGTTTGTGTAAGGGGACCATTTAGTCGACATTTATACGAGGGTTGTTTGGGAAGTTCTGAGAATTGATTTATAGCACACGTTGTAGTCGGGTTAGCGTAAATATAAATATATACGCATTTATTTCAATATATACTGTACAGTATCTGAAAATATCATAATCATACACACAGAAACTAAAACATACTAAAAATAGTAAATAACCATATAACAATCACCCGGAGCACGCCGACGTCATTTGCAACGTTATGCGACGTTAAAGTCCATCGATCGTCGCACCTTTTCAACGTAGTCACCTGCAATTTCGATGCATTTCCTGTGTTGGCTGATCCACTTATTGTATGTTTCCACGTACCAGCTATCGGTAAAGGACGAGACTATAGCTTGCGTATTGCTTAACAAGATTGTCAGCTGAGTCAAAGCGTTTTCCACGCAGCTGTGATTTGAGCTCCGGGAACACACGGAAGTCCATCGGAGCGAGGTCCGGGCTGTAGGATCGTCTTCGATCGAGTTTCTTCCTTCTTTAAAACGAGCATGCCATCTACACACTGTAGCCGGACTGCATTTCTTGTATTTTCCTGTAGAATTGATCATTTTCATTGTTTCTGTGGAAGACTTTTCTAGCGCAACACAAAATTTCACGATGCTTCGCAATTCAACGTCACCTATCGACGTCATGTTGTTTACTCAGTGGCTCTGGGCAACAACTTTAAAACAATGTTGATCCGTTGAGAATTTAAATAACGTTATGATATTTTCAGGAAATGATGTCATGGCGTTCCGCTGCTGACAAGCGTTTTCGCACATTTTTTGCGTTATCAAAATTACGAAATATTATTAGTGTAGCGCGTTATACCTTTCTTTAGAGTCGGACTGCTCCGGTGCGGCGTTATAGTGTTGCTATGGTTACTGCTATTTCCGGCTATTGTTGTCTGATTCTATTCAATTTTTAGGAATATTTCCGTGATATGCTAATCTTAGTATGTGCAAAATATTACGTCTTAGAAACAAAAAATATAGGAGATATGACAAAATTCTCAGAACTTCCCGAACAACCCTCGTATATGGATTGTAACACAAATGATAACTATCATGACCACAAGAGTGTGACATATGTAATTTAGGTTCATATTTGCAAGGTCAAGGTCACTACAGATGATAAAATATCCAGATATTTTCCGGATATTGCCCAGAACACATATCTCCTATATGCATATCTTTAATGCCCACATCTCTGTCAAAAGCTTTTGTGATTGGTGTATTTTGCGACAATGTTGCCCTTATTTCTTTATGCTTAAATAAAATTTGTCGTTTTGAAGGCGAAAAATTTTGAAAATGGAAAGAAAATGGGCTTGAAAGCAGTGAAATAGATTTTCGATTTTTTTCTTTAAATGTCCTCAGTCTAAATGTTTAAAAAAACACAGGGGGTCACCAACTCAAATTTTTCTATTTTCCCCACCCCTTGCATAATTTTTGTAACACAACTGGACTTTGGAAATACGTTTCAGACTTCATTGTGAGGCAATAATGTTAAGCTTATCAGGAGCATTTTTTTAGTTTGACTTGTCCTAAATATATAAAAACGTCAACAAAGAAATTCCGTTCCATGGCTCCTCCCCACCTCAATGCCAAGAAAATATTGGACTTGTGAGTGGCTAAAAATGGACTTGGTCAATCTTTAGGTAAGGTGTAACTATCTATCTATCTATCTTCCGTTAATGTCAAACCCCTCGCAGGGACGTAGACATGTCTGCGCATCAAAAATTGCAAGACAGTTAAAAAGAGTTGTATAAAAGAGGATAAAAGAATATTTAAAAATGTTAAAAACAGGGGCTGTGAAACATGTTCGATGCAAGCTATGGCTGCACTGAACTGCTCTGGGGTAGGGAGTAGGGCAAGTGTAGGGGGTAGGTGGTTCCAGTGGTATACCGTCCTAGGAAAGTATGGAGACCATACTTCGGAACCATATTCAAGCTGGGGTCTGACTAACGTCTGGTAAGCGATGGACTTAATGGATTGGTAACCAACACTGAAAAGGCTTTGACAACACTGAAAAGGCTTTGACTATATCTGAATCCATTAAGAAGTTGCAGCAATTTGAAATTAGGTTTAAGCAAAAAATCTATGCAAAATAGTGATTTTTGTGGCAATTTGGCGATGTCCCCTTGTTGCCATGGTAACAAGAAATTTAAGATTGAGCATGCCTTTACAAAATCTATTATCCAGTTAACATTTGTGCCAAATTTTATCAGTATAAAAGCATTTTTAGCTCACCTGTCACAAAGTGACAGGGTGAGCTTTTGTGATCGCTTTTCGTCCGGCGTCCGTCCGTCCGTCCGTCGTCCGTCCGTAAACTTTTACTTTAAATGACATCTCCTCATAAACCGCTGAGCCAATTTCATCCAAACTTCACAGGAATGTTCCTTTGGTGGTCACCTTTAAAAATTGTTCAAAGAATTTAATTCCATGCAGAACTCTGGTTGCCATGGCAACCGATAGAAAAAACTTAAAATATCTTCTTTTAAAAAACCCAAAGAGGTAGAGCTTAGATATTTGGCATGAAACATCTTCTAGTGAGTGTCTATCAAGTTTGTTCAAATAAAAGCCCTGGGGTCAAAATTGGCCCCGCCCCGGGGGTCATTGATTTTCCCTATATGCATATAGTAAAAAATTAAAAAATCTTCTTTTAAAGAGCCCAAAGAGCTAGAGCTAAGATATTTAGCATGAAACATGTTCTAATGTGTGTCTACCAAGTTTGTTCAAATAAAAGCCCTGGGGTCAAAATTGGCCCCGCCCCAGGGGGTCATTGGTTTTCACTATATGCATATAGTAAAAACTTATAAAATCTTCTTTTAAAGAACCCAAAGAGCTAGAGCTAAGATATTTAGCATGAAACATGTTCTAATGGGTGTCTACCAAGTTTGTTCAAATAAAAGCCCTGGGGTCAAAATTGGCCCTGCCCCAGGGGGTCATTGGTTTTCACTATATGCATTATAATAGTAAAAACTTATAAAATCTTCTTTTAAAGAACCCAAAGAGCTAGAGCTAAGATATTTAGCATGAAACATCTTCTAATGGGTGTCTACCAAGTTTGTTCAAATAAAAGCCCTAGGGTCAAAATTGGCCCCGCCCCGGGGGTCATTGATTTTCCCTATATTCATATAGTAAAAACTTATAAAATCTTCTTTTAAAGAACCCAAAGAGCTAGAGCTAAGATATTTAGCATGAAACATGTTCTAATGGGTGTCTACCAAATTTGTTCAAATAAGAGCCCTGGGGTCAAAATTTGCCCTGCCCGGGGGGTCATTGATTTTCCTTATATGTGTAAAGCAAAAACTTTAAATTAAAAATTCTTTGAAAAAAAACCAAATAGCTAGAGTTTAGATACTAAGCATGAAACATCTTCTAGTGAGTGTCTACAAAGTTTTTTCAAATAAAAGCCCTTGGGTCAAAATTGGCCCTGCCCCGGGGGTCATTGATTTTATTTATGTGTATAGCAAAAACTTATAAAATCTTCTTTGAAAAAACCCAAATAGCTAGAGTTAAGATATTTAGCATGAAACATCTTCCAGTTAGTGTCTTCAAAGTTTGTTCAAATAAAGCCCTAGGGTCAAAATTGGCCCTGCCCCGGAGGACATTGATTTTCCTTATATGTGTATTGCAAAAACTTAAAAATCTTCTTTAAAAAAAACCGAATAGCTAGAGTTTAGATATCAAGCATGAAACATCTTCTAGTGAGTGTCTCCAAAGTTTGTTCAAATAAAAGCCCTAGGGTCAAAACTGGCCCTTCCCTAGGGATGTCATTGCTTTTAACTATATGTGTATAGTTAAAACTTAAAAAATCTTTTTTTAAAAAACACAACGAGCTAGACCTTAGATGTTTAGCGTGAAATATCTTCTAATGGGTGTCTACCAAGTTTGTTCAAATAAAAGCCCTGGGGTTTATACTGGCCCCGCTCTGGGGGCCTAAATACAGGTGAGCGACTTCAGGGCCATCATGGCCCTCTTGTTTATAGTTTCATAGCAATTTGAACTTGTAAGAGGAGGTTTTCCAATGAAAACAGCCATCTGTCACAAAATGCGCATAGAGTGATTGGTTAAGATGAATATTTAAGTCATGAGTGGTGCTGTGTGAATGATTTAACATTTGACCTACGATTATCATAAGTCTAATACATAAGATAAACCATAAGCAGGTATTTGATCAGACAAATAACAGAGTACTCAAGTACTGAAATCAGTACTCTTTGCCATCCCTAATATCCAGCTAGTATTTGTAGTTCTATTTCACTTATGCTTGAAATTATGTATGACTTGGCAGCTGAGTTGTTTCTCCTAGTCAAACAAAATAGAAAGTTATATGATATAACAAATGTCAGTGTTAAAAAACAGAAAACACTCAAATAATTGGTCTTGAAATCATTGTCAAGTTTAATTGAACATTAATTTTCAAAGTTATTCTTATTAAGATGTACTTCTTATTTATATTCAAGCAAAGTATTACCTTAATCTGTGTTAAACAGTGTGATTGATATTTATCAAATAAAGAAATGGACAAACCTGTGTTTAACTGTCACACAAAGACTACAGCACACTTCATCATGGTCTTTGCAATATCTGTCAACGAAATGTCCATCATGGCTTCTACATTCCACTGATCTTTTTCCCTGGACTTGATCCGTGTCACCTAGAAGCTCATTAGCTTCAGTGATCTCCACAATTTGATGTTTACGTAATGCTGCAAACTTGTTGTGGTCATTTAAACAGTCCTGACAAACATATGTTGTACAGTCCACACAATATTTGATGGCCACAGTTGTCCTCTCTGCTTCAGAGCATGTAGTACAGTTAATTATCTCCTCAGACCCAGTAATCCCAGGTGTTGTATCCTCTTTCCCTGCCATATCTCTACTGACAGTTGCTACAAACACAGCAATGTTTTATAAAATAAACTTAACAATTTTAACTTCATTGTCTTTACAGATATAATCAATACTTAACCATATATTGAAAAATGCCACCACTAGCTGAGTCTTTGAAGTGTATCTGCTGTTAACGTCTTTGTATATTAATAATAAATGTTTAAAGTAAAATCCATTCAATAATTCAATGGCAGAAACTTTTTATTTTTTTGCCCCCGAAGGGTAGCATATTAAAATCGAACAGTTTGTTTGTCTGTCAGTCTGTTCCACTTTATACATATAGACAGTGGTGGTCATGTCCGCTTTGAAACTTCAGTATGCATGGAAGGATTGTAATTTTTCTTTCACATATGAAATAACCATAAATGTATGGTGTGTCTCGAACAAGACCTGGGTTTCTACCACTAAGGTCAAGGTCACTGTGGAGGTTCAAACTTCGTCATTTTTTATGTTATATAAATATAGAAGGTTGTGGTCGTGTCTGCTCTGAAACTTCAGTATGCATGGAAGGATTTGTAATTTTTCTTTCACATATGAAATAACCATAGATGTATTGGTGTGGCGAACAAAACTCGGGGTTTCTACCACCAAGGTCAAGGTCACTGTGGAGGTTCAAACTTTGTCATTTTTTATGTTAGATAAATATAGAAGGTGGTGGTCGTGTCCATGTAGAAACTTCAGTATGCATGGAAGGATTTAAATTCTTCTTTCACATATGAAATAACCATAGATGTATTGTGTGTCACAAACAAGACCTTCGTTTGACAAAGGTTAAGGTCAATCTGGGGACTAAAACATTTTAAATTTTTATGTTATATAAATAAAAAATGTGGTGGTAATGTCCGCTCTGAAAGTTCAGTATGCATGAAAGGATTTTAGTTTTTTCTTTCACATATGAAATAACCATAGATGTATGGTGTGTCACGAACAAGACCCTGGTTTCTATGACTTAGGTCAAAGTCACTGTTGGGGTCAATTTTGATGTTAATATACATAAAGGCAGAGATGGTCCTCAGTCTCCTCTGAAACTTAAATGCATGAAAGGATTATATTTTTTATTTCACATATGAAATTATCATAAATGTATGATGTGTTGCCCTTAAGAACCATGTTCCTACACCTTAGTTCAAGGTTACTGCTGGGGTTTAAACTTTTTCAATATTTATGTTATATACATATTAATGGTGGTTGTTGTGTCAGCTCTGTAACTTCCATATACATAAAAGTTTCAAGTTTTATTTAGAAATATAACGTCACCATAAATGGACAATGTGTTGTGAACAAGACCCAGGTTTCTTTGTCAATTTTTACCACCACACTTAACATGTAATGGTGGTTTATAACTAGAATTCTTGGGGGGCATTTGTCACATTCTGTGACAGCTCTTGTTGATATATTTATATTCCCAATACTAAAGTTAACCACATAGTAAATCAAAGGGCTTCAAGCTGTGTGATATTTTCTGAGCTTTGCAATCTAAATCTTACTGTATATCTGTATGCATTTTCCTGTATAAGTTTATTTTGATATACTATAATACATCTTGCAGGGCACCGAGTTGCAGCGACTGCGTTTATTTTTTTATGCTCCCGAAGGGTGAGCATATAGTAGCCGCTTTGTCCGTCTGTCAGTCCATCCGCTATTCTTGTCCGGAACATAACTTTATAACAACAAGTGGTATCAACATTAAACTTTGTAGGTAGATAGATCTCATTGAGTAGATTGCAGTGCACAAGAACCGTAACTCTGCCTTGCCTAATTTTTAAATTATTGCCCTTTGTTTATTTTGACACTTTGAACTTTGTCCGGGACATAACTCTGCTGTCACCCATTGTCTACGTCGCCGTCTGGGTCCCTGTGGTTAAGTTTTTTTGGTAAGCAAGTATCTCCCTAATTACTGAAGAGAATGGATTGAAACTTCACACACTTGTTCTCTGTGATTATCTAACATGATTGGCACAAGTCCCATAATTCTGTTTGCTTTTTTTGCATAATTATGCCCCTTTTTCGACTTAGAAATTCTTGGTTAAGTTTTTGCTGTAGGCTGATATCTCTATAACAACTGAAGGGAATGGATTGAAACTTCACACACTTGTTCTCTGTGATTATCTTACATGATTGGCACAAGTCCCATAACTCTGATTTGCTTTTTTGCATAATTATGCCCCTTTTTGTGCCCCCACTTTAGTGGCGGGCATTTAGATTTACCCTTGTCCGTCCGTCCATCCATCCGTTCTCTTTTGTGTCGCACGTAACTCAAAAAGTATTTGACCTAGAGTCATGGAACTTTACAGGAATGTTTATCAGCATGTGTAGTTGTGAACCTGTGTATTTTCGTCTGGATATATTTATAATTTATAGAGTCATTGCCCTTGACTTAGTAAAATTTTGCAATTTTCAAATTGTGTCGCATGTAACTCAAAAAGTATTTGACCTACAGTCATGAAACTTTACAGGAATGTTGATCAGCATATGTAGTTGTGCACCTGGGTATTTCCGTCTGGATATTTTTAGTATTTTTAGAGTTATTGCCCTTGACTTAGTAAAATTTTGCAATTTTCAACTTGTGTCGCATGTAACTCAAAAAGTATTGGACCTAGAGTCATGAAACTTTACAGGAATGTTGATCAGCATATGTAGTTGTGCACCTGGGTATTTTCGTCTGGACTTATTATGCTCCCCGAAAAATTTCGGGGGAGCATATAGTCGTCGGGTTGTCCGTCCGTCCGTCCGTCCGTCCGTCCGTCAGTCAGTCAGTCCGTCCGTACGTACGTACTGAATTGGTGTCCGGCCCATAACTTTGTTATTTGAAGTTGGATTTTAAAAATATTTCACAGAAATGATCACCATATTGACACGACGTGTCGCGCACAACATTTGGGTCGCTACCTTGAAGGTCAAGGTCACAGCATGACCTTGCAGCAAAATCGTGTCCGGTCCATAACTTTGTTATTTGAAGTCGGATTTAAAAAATATTCCACAGAAATGATCACCATATTGAGACGATGTGTCGCGCGCAACATGTGGGTCGCTTCCTTGAAGGTCATGGTCACAGCATGACCCTGCAGCAAAATCGTGTCCGGCCCATAACTTCGCTATTTGAAGTTCGATTTAAAAAGTATTTCACAGAAATGATCATCATATTAAGATGACGTGTCATGCACAAATTTAAGTCGCTACCTTGAAGGTCAAGGTCACAGGATAACTTGCAGCAAAATCGTGTCCGGCCCATAACTTCCTTATTTGAAGTCAGATTTTTAAACTATTTCACAGAAATGATCACCATATTAAAATGGCGTGTCGTGCGCAACATTTGCTCGCTACCTTGAAGGTCAAGGTCACAGCATGACCTTGCAGCAAAATTGTGTCCGGCACATAACTTCATTATTTGAAGTCGGATTTTACAACTATTTCATAGAAATGATCACCACAATGAGACATTGTGTCGCGCGCAACATTTGGGTCGCTACCTTGAAGGTCAAGGTCACGGTTTGACCTTGCAGCAAAATCGTGTCCGGCCCATAACTTTGTTACTGGAAGTCGGATTTAACAACTATTTCACAGAGATGATCACCATATTGAATCGACGTGTCGCATGCAACATTTGGGTCACTACCTTGAAGGTCAAGGTCACAGCATGACCTTGCAGCAAAATAATGTCAGGCACATATCTTCGTTATTTGAAGTCGGATTTTACAACTATTTCACAAAAATGATCACCATATTGAGACAATGTGTCGTGCACAATATTTGGGTTGTTTTTACACTTTGAATTTTGTCTGTGACATAACTCTGACACAACAAGAGGTATACCTTCCTGTGTCCAAAACCTATTCGGGGAGCATCACCCGGTTCAACCGGCTCTTGTTTAGTATTTTTAGAGTTATTACCCTTGACCTAGTAAAATTTGAGTTACCAACTTTACAGGAATAATGATCAACATCACTAAATTACAGGAATAATGATTCACATAACAGTGAAGCTATGCACCTGGGACTTTGCATGTGAATTTTTTTCCAGTTTTGATAGAGTTATTGCCCTTGACTTACAGTAGTATAAATTTGCAATTTTCAACTTGTTCATGCATAGCTCAAAAAGTATTTCACTTGTAGGCCTGAAAGTTTACAAGAATGCTGGTCAGCATGTGTACTTATGCACCTTGGGGTTTGCTTGTGGATTTATTCAGTGTTCATTAAGTTCTTGCCCTTAACTTAGTATAAGATTTTTAGTTTTCAAAAAAATATTTGACCTAGAGTCATAAGATTGACGGAACAGTGGCGTGGTGGGGGCACCCGTGTCCTATAGACACATTTCTAGTTTGACTTAGAAATTCTTGGTTGAGTTTTTGCATGTAAGCAAGTATCTTCATAACTACTGAAGGGAATGGATTGGACCTTCACACACTTGTTCTCTGTGATTATCTAACATGATTAGCACAAGTCCCATTAACTCTGATTTGCTTTTTTGCAAAATTATGCCCCTTTTTTGACTTAGAATTCTTGGTTAAGTTTTTGTGTGTAAGCTAGTATCTCCATAACTACAGTGAAGGGAATGGATTGAAACTTCACATGTTTGTTCTCTATGATTATCTTACATGATTGCCATAAGTCCTATAACTCTGATTGCTTTTTTGCATAATTATGCCCCTTTTTGACTTAGAAATTCTTGGCTAAATTTTTGCTTGTAAGCTGTTAACTCCATAACTACTGAAGGGAATGGATTAAAACTTCTCACTCCTATTCTCTGTGCTTATCTAACATTATTGGCACAAGTTCCATAACTCTAGATTTGTTTTTTGCATAGTTATGCCCCTTTTTCGGCTTAGGAATTCTTGGTTAAGGTTTTGCTTGTAAGCTGGTATCTCCATAACTACTGAAGGGTTTGTGCCTTTTTTGGACAATTATATGCATTCATAATAATATAGCAGTGATTTACTCGATAAAACATCTTAATAACAAGCCATTGTACCTTTTCGGACAATT